TACTGACAGGGTCTAGATGCTAAGTCTACTGGGAGATCAGGTGCACTTAATAACACGGGCTAGATGCCAGGTCTGCGGGGAGATCAGGTGCACTTACTGACAGGTTCTAGATGCCAGGTCTACTGGGAGATCAGGTGCACTTACTGACTGGGTCTAGATACCAGGTCTACTGGGAGATCAGATGCACTTTCTCAATGGGTCTATATGATAGGTCTACAGAGAGATCAGGTGCACTTAATGGCAGGGTCTAGATACCAGGTCTACTGGGAGATCAGGTGCACTTACAGTCCGTTGGGAGAGTCAGTAAACAGGGACCGATGAATTGCAAATTTGGGTCTATATCATTGTACAAAATTGCCCTACAGGTAGAAATATAAATAGTACAAATTTGACATGTTTATCATTTACATGTTTATAATAATACCCAACAGCTTTCTTATATTTGAAAATTTTCCGGACTCCACCAAAACAGTTGTTTAAGAAACCATCATCATTGAAAACGCAAAAGTTGTTATCTGTCGCGGTGGGGTGAAACCGCAGAAACGGAACAGCCACTATCTCGTCGTGCACGGGATACACATGCCTGATGAAAAATGAAGTTGAATGCTGACGTGAAACAGTTGATGATTAAAGTGTACGATTTTTTCCGTGCTGAAGCCGAAAGGGGCAAACCATTTTATGCCATTAATAAATTCCGTAAGCGGGCAGCAAAAGCTTTAGGAGTATCAGCAAGGGTACTGACAAATGTTCTGGAACACAAACATTGTGAGGGTGATGCGAAGCAGGTAGGGGTCGTGTCAAAATCACACAAATTAAAACATTTGGACAACTTTCAAAAGAACCTTGTAAGGCAGTCTATCAACAAGCTCTATTCTGAAAACAAATACATGTCGCTGAAATTTTTAAAAAGCATTTGAAGCAAGAACACAACCTCAGAGTATCAAAGTACACACTCTGGCGCCTCTTACACTCTTTCGGGTATCGTTATAAGAAAATTTCGGGGGAGAATAGGTCAGTACTCTGTGAACGCCCTGATATCGTTCGCTTGAGAAATAATTTTCTCAGGGTTATAAAGAAGAAGCGCGAGGAAAGATTCGAGCCAGTGTACTTGGACGAGACCTGGGTCAATGCCTTGCACACTGCCAGCAGCCAGTGGGTACCCGATGGGGGTGATAAGGGGTCACGTAGAAAGCTGCCTCTAGGGAAAGGAGAGAGACTAATCATTCTCCATGCTGGTTGCTCCAGCAAAGGCTTTCTCCCAGGCTGCGACTTGGTATTCAGGGCAAAGTCCACAGATAACAGAGACTACCATTCCGAGATGAATGGTGCGGTTTTCCTCTATTGGGTTAAAAACAAGTTGGTACCAGCTCTACCAGAGAAGTCTTTTATCGCAATGGACAATGCCCCATACCACAGCATGCAGGACCCCGACAGTAAAGCCCCGACATTAAACAGTCGAAAAGGTGATATGATATCATGGCTCGACAAATTTCAGATCGCACGGCCTTCAAAGGCAACGAAGCCTCAGCTATATGAGATCATAAAAAACCCACAAAGGTGAACCTTTCTACAAAGTTGACAGTTACATAAAAAGTAAGGGTCACGATATTCTGCGACTTCCACCCTATCACTGTGACCTTAACCCCATTGAAATGATATGGGTATTGTCAAAGGAGATGTTGCCAGATCAAACACAACTTTTAGATTACGTGACGTAGAGGTTTTGGTTAAGGAATCCCTTAACAAAATCACGACTGAAGCTTGTCAAAACTGTGTGAACAAGGTAGCTAACGTCATTGAACAAAGTTCCTGGTCTCGGGATGGCTTACAACAGGCAACTGTGGCACCACTTGTCATCCCTTTAAGTCGTGCCTATGACACTACGACGGACGAGGAACCGACAGGTCTCCCGGAATAGATTTTGAGATGTCCCCCGCCATGACTGGCTGTTCCGTTTCTGCGGTTTCACCCCACCGCGACAGATAACAACTTTTGCGTTTTCAATGATGATGGTTTCTTAAACAACTGTTTTGGTGGAGTCCATAAAATTTTCAAATATAAGAAAGCTGTTGGGTATTAGTAAATGATAAACATGTGTACTATTTATATTTCAGTGGCAATTTTGTACAATGATAAAAATTGCAATTCATCGGTCCGTATCTGACTCAAACGGACTGTAGATGCCAGGTCTCCTGGGAGATCAGGTGCACTTACTAACCCGGGCTAGATGCCAGGTCTACAGGGAGATCAGGTGCACTTACTAACCCGGGCTAGATGCCAGGTCTACAGGGAGATCAGGTGCACTTACTGACAGGGTCTAGATGCCACGTCTACTGGGAGATCAGATGCACTTATTGACAGGATCTACATGACAGGTCTACAGGGAGATCAGGTGGACTTACTGACAGGGTCTAGATTGACCTGGGAGATCAGGTGCTCTTACTGACAGGGTCTAGATGACAGTTCTAAAGGGAGGTCAGTTACACTTACTAATCCGGGCTAGATGACAGTTCTACAGGGAGATCAGGTGCACTTACTGACAGGGTCTAGATGCCAGGTCTACAGGGAGATCAGGTGCACTTATTGACAGGGTCTACATGCCAGGTGACCTGGGAAGTTAGGTGCACTTACTGACAGGGTCTAGATGCCAGGTGACCTGGGAAATCAGGTGCACTTACTGACAGGGTCTAGATGCCAAGTGACCTGGGAAATCAGGTGTACTTACTGACAGGGTATAGATGCCAGGTCTACCGGGAGATCATGTGTAGTTACTGACAGAGTCTAGATGACAGGTCTACAGGGAGATCAGGTGCACTTACTGACAGGGGTTAGGTGCCAGGTCTACAGGGAGATCAGGTGCACTTACTTACAGGGAGATCAGGTGCTCTTACTGACAGGGGTTAGGTGCCAGGTCTACAGGGAGATCAGGTGCACAGGTTCTACTGACAGGACAGGGGTACTGACAGGGGGTGCCAGGTCTACAGGGAGATCAGGTGCACTTACTGACAGGTTCTAGATGACAAATCTACAGGGAGATCAGGTGCACTTACTGACAGGGGTTAGGTGCCAGGACTACCGGGAGATCAGGTGCACATACTGACAGGTTCTAGATGACAGGTCTACCGGGAGATCAGGTGCACTTACTGACAGGTTCTAGATGACAAATCTACAGGGAGATGAGGTGCACTTACTGACAGGGGTTAGGTGCCAGGTCTACAGGGAGATCAGGTGCACTTACTGACAGGGGTTAGATGACAGGTCTACAGGGGATCAGGTGCACTTACTGACAGGTTCTAGATGACAGGTCTACAGGGAGATCAGGTGCACTTACTGACAGGGTCTAGATGTCAGGTCTACAGGGAGATCAGGTGCACTTACTGACAGGGGTTAGATGACAGGTCTACAGGGAGATCAGTTGCACTTACTGACAGGTTCTAGATGACAGGTCTACAGGGAGATCAGGTGCACTTACTGACAGGGGTTAGGTGCCAGGTCTACAGGGAGATCAAGACAAGACAAACAAACAGACAAAACAGACAGGTTGTTCCTAGGTAGTCATGTCACGATACCATGCCTCTTGATGCTATTGCCATTCCAGTTTCAAATTGCAGTACCCTTAGGAATACATTTAAGGAACACATACAACACAAAGTTTATTTCCTGTCGTTAGTCGAATACCAACATTTTATGACCGCATCTATCTATCAGAAGACGAGCAATATACACATTCTGGCATCATTATCAGGCATCTAACATAATGGCTACATGTGCCCTGAGAGAGAGAGAGAGAGAGAGAGAGAGAGAGAGAGAGAGAGACAGAGAGACAGAGAGAGAGAGTGTGTGTGTGTGTGTGAGTGTGTGCGCTCGCGTATGTGCGTATTTTTTGTGCTTGTTGCTTGTTTGCGTGTGCATAATATTAGATGACATCGTATATAACATAACAGTGTATTGTTTATTTGTATCCTGCATTCACGGAAAATACTTTCATTGTCAGTATGTCGACGATGATGATAAAGATGTCCGCTATTCGAACAAGGCTGTAGCAGTGATTGTTCCCTATACTAGAGAATCAGAATAGCATTTTCGTTCCCGCAATAATCCTTATCAAAACAATCGATTACACAATTACACAAATATATGAGAATGAGAATACATTATTGTTTTTGAAAACGAGTGTCCATGAAAACAGCACTGTATACTACACTGGTATATACGACTGGATGACTGATAAAGGAACAGCCGATGTTGGATATTCCGAAATAGCAGATGATAAATTATATACTTCAATAAGTACGGGAGAATTAGCTGCACCTTCCTCGGTTTGACTTGTGCGCCACAAGCTGGTGAATGTAATATCCATCTGTAATTTTACCATTGATTATGAAATGACCAAATAATGACTCCCTAATCACCACCAATAAACAGCTGACATTTCTCTTACGCATAAAGGCCCCCAAACCATTGTGGTATACTAGGAAAACAGTGTTTAGCCATAGTACTTGTCTGTCTCACAGTCCCTGAACCACATTATTTTCCCCACTGCCAAGCCCTAGCTGCAGTGCTAAAGCCCTAAATAAAGCAAGTCTAGATTTCCTCAGGTTCTGAATCTCTGGTCTCCCTAGGGCTCCTTTTCAATATAAATGGGCTTGTTTGTTACTATCAAAATTACAATATATTCAGAGACTAAGCCTTAGTCTACCATAGTACGTATACTTCCACGACCTTACTCAAATGCTCACAAGTGACTTAATAAACCAGATAATTGCAAACAGAAGCTGACACAAGTCATGCCGAGACCGTCTGCTGAATGACCAATCACCAGTCTGCTGGACCTGTCGGGCTAACCGAGGACAGCAGCTGGCCGATCACATTTGACCTTCCAACAGCACACCATATGGTAGCATCGTATGCCGCTATTTTCAAACTATAGCTCCTTTTGTATTGTCAGTCTTGAGAGCGCATGATTTGATAACATGGAATCTAAAATTGGAGAGAGTTACCTGACATGCAATGTTGATAGGTAGCGCGAAACGTGTTCCGGACAGTCTGAAGATGCTTCACCAAGCTGGTTTCTCGAGGGCCCTCTATTGCAGCAAATATCGCTGCTCCGATGATGAGGAACAGGACATAGAATACACACAAGCCAATCACTCGCACGTTACTACGTCTCAGGTCGGTGAACATGTCGCTTTCAGTGTGACGAATCCGTTCCCCCTCAGCAACAACGTTTGCAACACGAGCAGACGACGCTAGCGGGATTGGCGTAATGTTCCTGCAAGGAAACTGGGTGCTGTATTGATCGCGAAAGGCAGTCCTTGACGCAGCTACGTCCAGTTATCAGGATTCCTTCAAGGACAAGCTTTGGGAAATCCCACCTAAAGTTTTACAACTGTTAACGTAATATTGGCGGTGTTATGCAGCAATGTATATCGTAAGATCACCAACTGTGCATGTAGGCAGTATAGTGTTGACCTGGTGATGCTGATAGTATAGTGTTGATCTGGTGATGCTGGCAGTATCGTTATGATCTGGTGATGCTGGCAGTATAGTGTTATGCAGGTTACACTGGGAATATAGTGTTGATCTGGTGATGCTGATAGTATAGCGCTGACCTGGTGATACTGGTAGTATAGTGTTCATCTGGTGATGCTGGCAGTATAGTGTGGGGCAGGTTACACTGGTAGTATAGTGCTGACCTGGTGATACTGGCAGTTTAGTGTTGATCTGGTGATGCTGGCAGTATAGTGTTCATCTGGTGATGCTGGCAGTATAGTGTTGATCTGGTGATGCTGGCAGTATAGTGTTGGGCAGGTCATACTCGCAGTATAGTGTTGGGCAGGTTATACTGGCAGTATAGTGTTGATCTGGTGATGCTGGCAGTATAGTGTTGGGCAGGTCATACTCGCAGTATAGTGTTGGGCAGGTTATACTGGCAGTATAGTGTTGATCTGGTGATTCTGGCAGTATAGTGTTGATCTGGTGATGCTGGTAGTAAAGTGTTGATCTGGTGATGCTGGTAGTATAGTGTTGATCTGGTGATGCTGGCAGTATAGTGTTGATGTGGTGATGCTGGCAGTATAGTGTTGATCTGGTGATGCTGGCAGTATAGTGTGGGGCAGGTTATACTGGCAGTATAGTGTTGATCTAGTGATGCTGGCGGTATAGTGTTGATCTGGTGATGCTGGTAGTATAGTGTTGATCTGGTGATGCTGGTAGTATAGTGTTGATCTGGTGATGCTGGCAGTATAGTGTTGATCTGGTATAGTGTGGGGCAGGTTATACTGGCAGTATAGTGTTGATCTGGTGATGCTGGCAGTATAGTGTTGATCTGGTGATGCTGGTAGTATAGTGTGGGGTAGGTTATACTGGCAGTATAGTGTTGATCTGGTGATGCTGGCAGTATAGTGTTGATCTGGTGATGCTGGCAGTATAGTGTTGATCTGGTGATGCTGGCAGTATAGTGTCCATCTGGTGATGATGGCAGTATAGTGTGGGGCAGGTTATACTGGCAGTATAGTGTTGATCTGGTGATGCTGGCAGTATAGTGTTGATCTGGTGATGCTGGCAGTATAGTGTGGGGCAGGTTATACTGGCAGTATAGTGTGGGGCAGCTTATACTGGCAGTATAGTGTTGATCTGATGATGCTGGCAGTATAGTGTTGATGTGGTGATGCTGGCAGTACAGTGTTGATCTGGTGATGCTGGGAATATAGTGTTGATCTGGTGATGCTGGCAGTATAGTGTTGATCTGGTGATGCTGGCAGTATAGTGTTGATCTGGTGATGCTGGCAGTATAGTGTTGATCTGATGATGCTGGCAGTATAGTGTCCATCTGGTGATGCTGGCAGTATAGTGTTGGGCAGGTTATACTGGCAGTATAGTGTTGATCTGGTGATGCTGGCAGTATAGTGTTGATCTGGTGATGTTGGCAGTATAGTGTTGATCTGGAGATGCTGGCAGTACAGTGTTGATCTGGTGATACTGGCAGTATAGTGTTGGACAGGTGATACTGGCAGTATAGTGTTGATCTGGTGATGCTGGGAGTATAGTGCTGACCTGGTGATGCTGGCAGTATAGTGTTGGGCAGGTTATACTGGTAGTATAGTGCTGACCTGGTGATGCTGGCAGTATAGTGTTGATCTGGTGATGCTGGCAGTATAGTGTTGATCTGGTGATGCTGGCAGTATAGTGTTGGGCAGGTTATACTGGTAGTATAGTGCTGACCTGGTGATGCTGATAGTATAGCGCTGACCTGGTGATACTGGTAGTATAGTGTTCATCTGGTGATGCTGGCAGTATAGTGTTGATCTGGTGATGCTGGCAGTATAGTGTTGGGCAGGTCATACTCGCAGTATAGTGTTGGGCAGGTTATACTGGCAGTATAGTGTTGATCTGGTGATGCTGGCAGTATAGTGTTGGGCAGGTCATACTCGCAGTATAGTGTTGGGCAGGTTATACTGGCAGTATAGTGTTGATCTGGTGATTCTGGCAGTATAGTGTTGATCTGGTGATGCTGGTAGTATAGTGTTGATCTGGTGATGCTGGTAGTATAGTGTTGATCTGGTGATGCTGGCAGTATAGTGTTGATGTGGTGATGCTGGCAGTATAGTGTTGATCTGGTGATGCTGGCAGTATAGTGTGGGGCAGGTTATACTGGCAGTATAGTGTTGATCTAGTGATGCAGGCAGTATAGTGTTGATCTGGTGATGCTGGTAGTATAGTGTGGGGTAGGTTATACTGTCAGTATAGTGTTGATCTGGTGATGCTGGCAGTATAGTGTTGATCTGGTGATGCTGGCAGTATAGTGTTGATCTGGTGATGCTGGCAGTATAGTGTCCATCTGGTGATGATGGCAGTATAGTGTGGGGCAGGTTATACTGGCAGTATAGTGTTGATCTGGTGATGCTGGCAGTATAGTGTTGATCTGGTGATGCTGGCAGTATAGTGTGGGGCAGGTTATACTGGCAGTATAGTGTGGGGCAGGTTATACTGGCAGTATAGTGTTGATCTGATGATGCTGGCAGTATAGTGTTGATGTGGTGATGCTGGCAGTACAGTGTTGATCTGGTGATGCTGGGAATATAGTGTTGATCTGGTGATGCTGGCAGTATAGTGTTGATCTGGTGATGCTGGCAGTATAGTGTTGATCTGGTGATGCTGGCAGTATAGTGTTGATCTGATGATGCTGGCAGTATAGTGTCCATCTGGTGATGCTGGCAGTATAGTGTTGGGCAGGTTATACTGGCAGCATAGTGTTGATCTGATGATGCTGGCAGTATAGTGTTGATCTGGTGATGCTGGTAGTATAATGTTGATCTGATGATGCTGGCAGTATAGTGTTGATCTGGTGATGCTGGCAGTACAGTGTTGATCTGGTGATGCTGGCAATATAGTGTTGATCTGGTGATAATGCCAATATAGTGTTCATCTGGTGATGCTGGCAGTATCGTGTCCATCTGGTGATGCTGGCAGTATAGTGTTGATCTGGTGATACTGGCAATATAGTGTTCATCTGGTGATGCTGGCAGTATAGTGTTGATCTGGTGATACTGGCAGTATAGTGTTGGACAGGTGATACTGGCAGTATAGTGTTCATCTGGTGATACTGGCAGTATAGCGTTGATCTGGTGATGCTGGCATTATCGTGTTGGGCAGGTTATACTGGCAGTATAGTGTTGATCTGGTGATGCTGGCAGTATAGTGTTGATCTGGTGATGTTGGCAGTATAGTGTTGATCTGGAGATGCTGGCAGTACAGTGTTGATCTGGTGATACTGGCAGTATAGTGTTGGACAGGTGATACTGGCAGTATAGTGTTGATCTGGTGATGCTGGGAGTATAGTGCTGACCTGGTGATGCTGGCAGTATAGTGTTGGGCAGGTTATACTGGTAGTATAGTGCTGACCTGGTGATGCTGGCAGTATAGTGTTGATCTGGTGATGCTTGCAGTATAGTGTTCATCTGGTGATGCTGGCAGTATAGTGTTGATCTGGTGATGCTGGCAGTATAGTGTTCATCTGGTGATGCTGGCAGTATAGTGTTCATCTGGTGATGCTGGCAGTAAAATGTTGATCTGGTGATGCTGGCAGTATAGTGTTGATCTGGTGATGCTGGCAGTATAGTGTTGATCTGGTGATGCTGGCAGTATAGTGTTCACCTGGTGATGCTGGCATTATAGTGTTGATCTGGTGATGCTGATAGTATAATGTTGATCTGGTGATGCTGGTAGTATAATGTTGATCTGGTGATGCTGGCGGTACAGTGTTGACCTGGTGATGCTGGCAGTATAGTGTTCATCTGGTGATGCTTGTAGTACAATGTTGATCTGGTGATGCTGGCAGTATAGTGTTGACCTGGTGATGCTGGCAGTATAGTGTTGATCTGGTGATGCTGGCAGTATAATGTTGATCTGGTGATTCTGGTAGTATACTGTTGATCTGTTGATGCTGGCAGTATAGTGTTGATCTGGTGATGCTGGCAGTATAGTGTTGATCTGGTGATGCTGGCGGTATAGTGTTGATCTGGTGATGCTGGCGGTACAGTGTTGACCTGGTGATGCTGGCAGTATAGTGTTCATCTGGTGATGCTTGTAGTACAATGTTGATCTGGTGATGCTGGCAGTATAGTGTTGACCTGGTGATACTGACAGTATAGTGTTGATCTGGAGATACTGGCAGTATAGTGTTGATCTGGTGATGCCTGTAGTATAATGTTGATCTGGTGATGCTTTTAGTATAGTGTTGATCTGGTGATGCTGGCAGTATAGTGTCCATCTGGTGATGCTGGCAGTATAGTATTGATCTGGTGATGCTGGCAGTATAGTGTTGATCTGCTGATGCTCGCATTATAGTGTTCATCTGGTGATGCTGGCAGTATAATGTTGATCTGGTGATGCTGGCAGTATAGTGTTGATCTGGGGATACTGGCAGTATAGTGTTGATCTGGTGATGCTGGCAGTATAGTGTTCATCTGGTGATGCTGGCAGTATAGTGTTGATCTGGTGATGCTGGTAGTATAATGTTGATCTAGTGATGCTGGCAGTATAGTGTTGATCTGGTGATACTGACAGTATAGTGTTGATCTGGAGATACTGGCAGTATAGTGTTGATCTGGTGATGCCTGTAGTATAATGTTGATCTGGTGATGCTTTTAGTATAGTGTTGATCTGGTGATGCTGGCAGTATAGTGTCCATCTGGTGATGCTGGCAGTATAGTATTGATCTGGTGATGCTGGCAGTATAGTGTTGATCTGCTGATGCTCGCATTATAGTGTTCATCTGGTGATGCTGGCAGTATAATGTTGATCTGGTGATGCTGGCAGTATAGTGTTGATCTGGTGATGCTGGCAGTATAGTGTTCATC